CAGGTGGAATAACTTCAAACTGAAAGGGAGTACATTTAGGTTAGATATAAGGAAGAAATTATTTACTGTGAAGGCAATGAGGAACAGGTTGCCTAGAGTAGCTGTGGATGCCCCATCCCTGGAAGTGTTCAAGGCCAGGTTAAATGGCGCTCTGAGCAACCTGGTCTAGTGAAAGTTGTCTCTGCCCATGGCAGGAGGGTTGGAATTAGATGACCTTTAAAGTCCCTTCCACCCAAGCGATTCTATGATCTCTGTTCTATAAATGCTGTCGAGCTTAGCTCCTAATCCTTTTAAGATGATCGAATTATGCCCAGAGCTTCATAAACACCTTTGCAACATGGCCAAAAGGCTTCTGAGGTAGGCACATAGAATAAAATACTGATTAAGTTAAGTACATATTTAGTAAATTTGCAGAGTTGGGTGTCTCTGAATCATGTCTTAGAACATCAGCTCAGTGGTGAGAAGCTGCCTAGAGATTCCTCAGAGGAACTGCTTAGAATTGGGGTTTATCTGTAGAGGTTTTGGGTGCTTCTATCCACTTGAGGTCCAATGCCCCTTAATACTCAGTCTGAGAACCTGTGAAAAATGGAAGAGATCCCAATGTGAGAAAATGCAATATCACCTTTGCATTATTAGAAAAACAAGTTCCATAGATTATCTGCTTTAAAAGCGGGTATTCAATTTTTTGAGATTCAATATCTCATTTTTTGAGAAAATGCACTCTCTATCAAAACTTCTGCTCTTTCAACACTCCCACTTAGTCTGTGTCATTCTGCAGCAAAGAACACATGCTGCACAGGGAGAGCTGGTGGTGCCTTAGAGGGGTATCACAACTTGCTGGCATGTTAAAGAATGAGGCATCAAGCATGAAGGATATGCTGCAAAGACCAGATAGGGCCTAGGATACTAAAGAAGGTGTCTGAGTTCTCCTCCAGTGAATAAATGTCTTTTAAATCAATCAAGAACCGCTTATTGTCAGACACAAAGATAACTCCTGACTATTAACCCTTGTGTTGGTAACTTTCAATTGCAGAGGAAAAAAAAAATCAACTGTTTAAAACTTCTTCACATACCATCTTTATTTAAAAGGTGTTTCAAGACTGATGAGGTCTTAAGCTTCTCCCTTATTTCCCTCTCATTTTAATTTATTGCTAGACATTGTTCAGGACAGCCTTATAATCATAGTATCTAACAAAGGTTTGCATTCCTTACTAGGTGAAATCTATAAAACCAGTTGTAAACTCTTAAATAAAAATTGACCGTGTCATATCAGAAGCTACCAGTTCTACATGATGTCCATAATAGCATCTTAAATGTAACCCTAGCATAGAGTTGTGTAAAATTCATATATCATGGAAAACACTTGAACTGTTTTATGTTTGCTCTTGAATCAAGTTGACAAGATGACAAAAAGTACTTTTCTTTGTTCTCGCCATACCTAGTAAGGTCTCTTGTGCACTTAAAAAACGAATAGAAATTATTGCTTTCCACTACAATTTCCCCTCAATCTTCTGTCTATGCTGGACTAATCAGGTCACTGCACAGAATACTGCAAAAACATTGCTGCCATGCAACAAATTATTATGGGAAAAACTGGAACAAAAGTTTCAACATTTACCTCAGACGAACCTATCAAAATTTTCTAGTGTTGCGTAACCATTTTAGACTGTCAGAAAAACCAAAAACCCCAGGAGTTATGAAACTCCTATTAAACAGTCTATTAGGATTTAAGCATAGTAATGATGCTCCAAAGATACAATGGACAAATGCTATGCTAAACAGCTTCAATTGCGTTGTTCAAGAACTCTTTTGAAAGCCTCTTGTACAGCTGCACAGTTTAGAAAAGTAATACAACTAAGAACAGCAACTGGAGCTTTACAGTCTGTCTACCAAATTTTACTTCTCAAAATTAAGATGCCATAAAAGTGTTTGAAATCTCAAAAATTTAATGTTTTGCCAATTACTAAATTAAAAGACAAATAGCTAAGTAGAGATATTTATATCTCCACAACTGATAGACTAAATTTCAGTCTTGTGAAGTCTGAAGTTGCAGAAATATTAATATCACCCAAAAGAAGTGGAGTTTGAGCTACAGTGTTGGTGTCAGTGGCAGAAATGTTTAAGAGTTTTTCTAGTGTGGCCATTTCAGAATTAATACTACTGTAATTTTAAATCATGTAGTTTCAAATTTTCTTTTTAAATTTATTTGAGTGTGCTCAACACTTGAAACACCCTTACAGCTATACCTAAATCTCTATAATTTGTTTAAAGATATTTCGAGGTCAGTTTTCTTCAACAGTCCATACTGCATTAAGTGCAGGTAAGTTCATTGTTTCTATTTCATTATCACATGTGAAATGTCCATGTGCAGTGCTCTATTGATTTTAAGCAGTTTTGCACCTTTGACTGAATTTTCCTTTTGATCAAAACTCAATTTTCTTTCCTCCATTACTGGTGAACAGTTTTAACTTTCAGAGACAGAGAAGGGAAGCAAGTTGGAATTCTAAAGCTACCCCAGAAAGTGGCTAAATGTTTGTGTTACCATACATAAGATGTGTCCACCCTGTGAAAATACTGGATTTATGTAGTGATAGAACAGCTGACTGGAGCAATTCAGTCTTCTGAAAAAAACCCTTCAATTCCTTCCATATTATTTATTTCCTGTGTTGACCTTCAATGAGTTGAAGTTTAAACACACAGGTCCTATCTGTCCTATAGGAATAATATTGTGGGATGCATTCTGGTTTTTTATAGCCTACAAAATAACTCCTCCCCATTATAGTTACAAGTAATTCTGATATAGTCCCAAGCATATTCATCACTGTGTAAGTAATTTGTAAAGTGCTGGAATAACTGCATAAATTTTATCCTGTAAGCTTGTCTTCCCTTTTCCCCTCCATCTTCTGCTCAGTATTTTTCTTTATGGCAATTTGTTTTGTAGCTTTTTACTAGACTACTTTCACAGTGAAGGTAATGGAACAATACTGGGCGGATTTCTAAAGCTTCTCATTTGTCATGCCCTTTTGTGCAAATTTATTAGATAAAATAAGTGTCTCTGTTACTGAGTATACTAGCACCTCATTGTCAGCTGCAGAAAAACTAATCTCAGCCCTGAATGAACACACTTAGTGATATACACAAAACTTGGAGAGAAATGTGTGGATTGTACAAAGAAAGAGACAAAGACAAGCACCAGGAAGCCCACATAGTTAAGCAGGATTTGTAGGAGGTTTGGTTTGGTTCAGCTAACAGGTCACAGCTGGGTATGCCACTGCCTGCCACAAGTTGCCATCAGCCTTGAGTTTCCCATTGCTGCCTTGCTATCTATTGGCCAAGATGTCTTTGATGATGGCCTGTTATAGCCCAGGCTCGGCAAAGCAAGTGGTTCACACCACTCTACACTACTTTGGGGCACACTTGTGCTCAGTGACACTGATCTTTCAGGACAGAAACTGGAGAAGAAGGGATTTAACTCCCTTCCGCTTGAGAGAGTCCCACAACTGGCCCATGAGGATTGTCTGATGACAGCCATTGACAGTTTCCATTGTCATCACATGAAGTTTGCTCATATTTAGTATCATGTACTTACTCCTTACAGGCACCAGATCAGTGAATCTATCCCACAGGACTTTACTTGCAATTATTTGTTTTTATGTTACCGTACCTACCTGGGAAGAAATCTCACAGTAACTGCTCAATAACTGTTGGTTTGGCGCTAGCAATCCTTCTTCTCTGCAGTGTTATCCTTACTTTTTTTATCCTGTTGTAACTGAAGCAAACAGTGAGCTTTGATGTATTTATATTTGGCTATATACCTTAGAACCATCCCTATCAAAGATCTTTTTTATTTCCTTATCAGATTCTAGTATAGTGTGAATCAATCACTGTAACAATTTTAACTTTTCTTGTGTGTTCTTTAAATCTTTGCTCTAATGGATTTGTTTGAAATAACCCCAAGTGTACTGATTTTTGTCCTTTTCCATCACTTACTTTCTACAATTTTTTTTCTACATCTCCTTTGCTTGTTTTTAGAATGTCCCTTGTTTTCTCCAGATAATGTTTCCATTATTCACACGTTTTTACTACCTTAAATATTTTGTACCACTTACATAGAAATACTACATTTTAGTACACTCTATGTCCCTCTTTTCGGTTACTGACATGAAATTTGCTTGTAGTTTCCGAGGAAATACAATTTTTCAATTTATCTTGCTAATATATTATAGTCCCTCGTAGTACTATCTTCCTTAACTTTCAATTTCTTTCAAAATTTGATCTTCTAAAGAGAAATGTTTGTCATAGGTTAATCTCTATAAAATACTTTGTGCTGAAAACTGTAGGATATATATTAGAGGTTAGAGGTGGGCATATCATGGTTAGTTTATGGGATTAAAGGCACATCTTCATGAACCCAAAGGAGCCCAGATGAATAATGACAGATGGGGGAACTCCAAAAACCTCATGAGACCAAAGGATGACCCTGAGGCAGCTGCTCCCCAGGAATATTGCAGGGGAGCCTCAGCCCATGTCCCCAGGGTGGCCACCAACCTAATCATTTTGTCAATCAGTTTCAGGTGATAAGAGACTTTGGGAATATGGGAAGTATTATGGGATGTCAGGAAGAGCCTTCTGAAATCAAAGGCAATGAAAGCATCAAAAAGTCTGTCCTATCCTCTCTTTACACTCCATTTCTAACTATTTTCACAGGTGCAAGGATCTCTGTCCTGTGTGCACATATGTGTCTGGGGATTGGAGTGCAGCAAGAGTGGGACAAGGGATCTTAGAGGGACGATGTGCCTGTGGTGGGTGCAACTGGAGAGATCACAGAAGGGACTCGTGTTCAGGTGTGTATGTCAGTGTGTAAGCTCCCTACTTCTTGCAGGACCACCTAAAACTAAGCCATATACCTAAGAGCATCTTCCAGATGCTTCTTGAACTCTGTCAGATTCAGTGTCGTGACCGCTTTCCTGGAGAGCCTGTCCAGTGACTGACCAATCCTCAGATGTTCAATATGTCCATAGAGGGTAAATCTAAATATGGAAAATGAAATTATTTATTCATCTGATGTTTTACAGTGTTGCAACACTCAGTTTGTCTTTAGTGACAGTTATGAGAGAAACTTCTTTCTCTCACCTTTCATGTGCATATACATGCATACTCCTTGAGGATTATGGCACTCCAAATGATTATTTTAATTCCTTATTTAACTATACAAAATGTCAGTCTAATTGCAGATATTCCCGAAACTTCCATTTTCTGTCAATATGACAGAGTCTCAAAGTGCCAAAAAAAGTAATTCCTAGTTGTAGAATGTCAGAAATATTGGTCCAGGACAACTGTTTTATTTAAAGTGTCTTTATCATTTCCACTTATACTGCAGTTTAAAATATATCTATCTATCTATCTATCTATAATATATATAAATAATTATACTTTTATTTACTTTTTGTTTGTGTGTGTATATCTTTTTTTCATAACTGGGAATAAATTTGCATGAAATAGTGATATATCTTCAACTGAAACTTTAAAGTGCTTGAGGTATAGGATGTTAGGATGAATAGCTTCTAACTGTAGTCTCAGAAGCAACAAATAGAGTCTTCCACTTTGAATTATACTAGTTTAAATTCCTGCAAAAGATTTCAGGAATATTTTATTGAAAATGATTTCTTATTTCAATGTCTTTGTTTTTAAAGAAAGCAGGAGGAGATTGAAAATGTTTTGGTTATGTCCAACACACCTGCATTTTGTTTGTTTCTTATATTCTTAAGAATATATTTTTGACTTCTACATTTGAAAGTTATGCATCTAGTAAGAATTTCTGCATTTTGATTTAGCAAGTAGAGTTAATATTTTCAGTGCTGTAGCAACAATCCATGCTTATTAAAAAATATATTAATTGAGAAACTAATTATTTATTAATCACAGAGTCATAGAATATTCTGAGTTGGAAGGGATCCTCAATTCCAACTCTTAAATAAATGGCCATGATCTTGGCATTTTTAGCACCATGCTCTAACCAACAGAGCTAATGTTCAGAAAGTTTTTCTCTAACATCAAAAGAAAAGTGTCACCTCTCTCAGACCCTTTAAATGCGTTTTGAATGAAAATATAAAAAATACTCCCAAGTCCCTCTCCTCAAAACTGAAGAAAAAGCAACAAAAAATTGAGTGTAAATTTCCAACACGAAGGGACAGCTGAAGGTGCTCTTTTTTAATTCCAGTGGCAGCACTTGTTCCAACCCTCTCAAATGTTCAGCTAATTCCATAGCAGAGAGATTTTAACTGAGATCAGATCACATTATCAATAAGCAGCTTCCTATATGACTCCTCCCACTTCCTCACTTTTAATCTGTGTAACTTGCTCATCAAAAGCAGTCTTACTGCAGTAGCACAGATCTCCATGGTGTGTAATTTATTCCTAGGAAGACACACTAGGGCACATTTGGCTCTTAGCATGGGAGGAAGGAGCAGGACTTGACCCAGTTAGTTGGAAACAGGAACCAAAACATAATACAAGAAGTTGTCTATTGAACAAGTCGGTACTGAACAACTCTCTCATAGGTACACCTAGTAGATTCATGTTTGACTTATTAAACTCATGTCCATGGAGAATGAGTAATCAGGACTGCTGTCATCAGAACTGCACATTAGTGCAAGGCAGTTAATACAGGGATTGGTGTGGGGTGGAGTGCACAGGGGCTCAGAGTTGCTACGGAACTGTTATTGAACTCAGTGCAGGGATAGTGGTGAGGTGCCAAGGGATCCTATGCCCTGCAGTCTGTGGCATGTCAGAGGTCTGATTAGAAGCTGCTGCCCCGGGGAAGTGTCAGGGAGTGGCAAAGTACATAGATTTTTATTACATAGGGCATGTAGGTACACACCGCTAAAAGAAGTTTAACAGCTACTGTATATACTTACTTTAAATTTAGATTTAAGGTGAAGAATTTGGAACTGGAAGGGCTCTCCTGAAGCACAAAGACCAGCCTCAGCTACTATAGCAGGCAATTGTTTCATCACAATTCTTTTAAACTAGCTTCAAAATAGAGCTTAATCAGTTTATTAGGTTTGAATTCCCTCCCTGCCCTCGCCCCTGAATATAACTTCTCTGATGATTAGAACTGTTATAATTTACAACCTTATTTAATTTATGGACAGTTTAAATTCATCATGTTCTTGCGTCAACATCGTCTTTTTCCTAAAATACGGCCTTTTTTTTACTGAACTTTATGTATGCAATGTAGGTTGTGGAAAACGATTTATTATCTCAGTTATATCTTCTCTTATGCTTTGTTTTGAAGGCAAAAGAAGGAAACTAATTTTTCTTCTTCAACATAATCATCCTGTTCCCCACTATGCTCCTAGAAGCATTATTGTGTTCAATCCACTAAAGTATGAATAAATCTTTTGCAAACATGGGTGGCCAGTACTGCATACATCACCAGTGCTTTCATGTACATGTTTTTTTACACTTGTCCCATCTTTCTGGATGGAATTTGTGATATCTCCTGTAACTTCCTTTTTTTGCATTCTGATCTACTAGAATCATTATTTGTAAATGATATTGTGCTTGTCTTTGTTTGAACAGCTTCCAAGGTTTTTTAAGACCATATTTCCACTTTTTCAAAAATATTTTAGACTCCAGCCTATTCTCTAGCACTTACCATACTAGTGTTCTGTAACATGCCAGCCTCTCTTCTTAACTTCTCATTATTTAAAACACAGAGATTGAAAAGTGTTACTGAAAAGTAGAGCAGATTGTTGTGGAAACTGCCGTTCCCATTGATAATCACTGCCGGAATGGGACTTTCATACAAGCTTTACATCCATCCTTTCTGAAAACAAAACTCTGCTCCCTATGTTTGTAACGTGAAATGTCACATGAAACAATGTCAAAAGCCTTACTAACACCAAGATATTTGACATCCACTGTTCTCCAATATTCACAGTGCCTGTCACTATTGTAAAAGCAAGTAAGATTGGTCTGACACTATGTGATTTTGGCAGATCCTTGTATGCTCTTACTTATCACCTTGTGCTCTTGTAGGGTTTACCAAATTGTTTGAATATTTATGCCAGTACCTCTTCTAGAAATTGAAGTTTAGCTATGAGTTTATAAATACTCAGGTCCTGCTTTTTTTGCTTTTAACAGATGGGTGCCACATTTTTTGCCTCTCATGACACTGTTAAAAACCGAAAAATCATTAAATACAGTTTCTATTTCATCTTTACTTCCATTAAGGAAATAAACTAGCAGTGGGAACAGATAAATTTAGAATCTGATGCAAAACTATCTCTGTGATAACACTGAGTGATGGGAGAGGGAAGTTCAAAAAAAGCAAAAGATTTATTCAAGGACGGAGATCTCAGAAATGAGAGGAGTATGGCAAAAAAATGTTCATTATTTTCCTTAAAATTACTCTCCAGAAAGAGTTTGCAGCAGAACATGTTTCAAAACAGGTATCAGCATCTTGCGTATACATGATTAAATCAGTGCTCCTCTGAAAATACTAACTATAAATGAAAATGCTATCAGTGTCAGGACAAGATTAACAAAACTTAAATGGTATTACTGAAAGACATGAAATTTGAGCAATTCATCAGGTAAAGCCCAGGCTAACCCACCACCTTTTTTCGTCAAGTTATATGCTTAAAGAAGAGAGTACAGAGTCAACATCTGCAAGCTGGTTTACATACAGGGAGAATTTGCCTGACTTTTTAGCCCTGGAGGAACCCTATTCCACCACTTTCAGTCCCAGCTGTCCCCACCAAAGCACTGAAGATTGTCTTGTCCCCACAGTCTGACGGTAGTTGTAACCAGGGGAAATGTCATAGACAGGTAACATGACATTGTGATAAAATAATTTGCAGATTCAGCTTTTGGGACTGAACAGGTTTGAAAGACAGCATATAATCTTCATTCAAAACCAAATACCTCCAACACCCCCAAATATAATGAATGTGTCAATTTATGTCAAATTACTGTACTGTAACAGAAAATGCAGACCAAAGTTTAGGTTTAACCTTTAAGAAATCTCATCAAAAGAAAATGTAATATTTATTGTTTTCAGAATCTTTGGGATACACATTTCCTATTTTTCATTCTCAATATGTTTTGCATTTACTTTGAAACCTATATTTTTGCCCAAAGAGACACCTTCATCTAACTTAATATTGACTTCAATCACATCAAGACAACAATGAAAGAAAAATAAGAAAAGAGTAGTTAAAAGATATCTATACAACCATAGACAATTCACATAGAAACCCAGGAAGTACATAGACTTTTGGAAAAGCAATAAAAATTTCCACTCAAACCCCAACCCCAAAACACTTACATTGCTTTAAGTTTTATTCAGTCCTTTCAAGATCTTAGGGTATATACAGAGCCCTTTCTCCTGCTCCCTTTTCTCTTTGCCAGTATCACTGTGAAGGCTTTCCTTTTGTAAAGTTCTAGATTCCTCAGTCAAATAATTATTTTGAAAGACTTGAAAGACTTAAAGTCCTTCAGCAGGTGTTCTGTTGATTCCTCATAAGCCTCCCCGAGACAACATTCTCTTTGCTTTCAGCTTAGTCACTGAAATAAGGGGCTGCAATTTCAAAGGTAACAACAACATTTTGTTATTAGCACTCTGTTAATAATCTCTTCGCTAAAAATCTCTCCCAACCCAGAGAAAAACAGCAGATACACAAACATCAGCAAAATTCTTCTATATCCCAATAAAAACATTTTATGCACAAAAAGCACCCACCAAACAAAATTAATTATAGTACGCATAAATGAGAACCAGTCGTGTGTAACCTAATAAAAATTTGTTAGAATATAACTTTAAAGTTCTAGCATAAAAAAATTTCAGTATTAAATCAGGGAAATACAGTTATCAAACTATCACACTTGTTCTAAGAAAACTAACATAAATCACAGAAGGAAAAAAGGTTTTAGCTTTCTGATACCTCTATCACATTGCTTAAGAGAGGGTAATACAAACTGACTTCCTACTTCATCTGCCATATATGTGACATTTCTAAAACTTTAAATAAATGATTTTAATTTTAAGTAGTGTTGTGATTTTGTAGACATATAAAGTAGCCATTAATTATAACAGACACAAAATCATAAACACCAGAAGTCTTTTCAGAAAAAGAACTAGTTAGTCTAGTAGAACCATTACTTTTTTATATAATTTCAAGGACAAAAATTATTTAAAGCTAAGGTAGCCCCCTGAGCTGCAGAATGAATGACAGCTGGTTTCCTAAAGGCTGTGTTTAGATCTCCTTAATAAGTCCTGTGCTGCACTACTGGGCTAGCTGTACCTTTTATTTTTTAGAGTTCCTGTGTCAGGATGTATTATTGGTACTTCAGAGGTATATATGTTTTAATCTTCTTATTGGAATTATTCTTGGAATTCACACCTGCTTTTCCTTATTTTGGTCTCCATCCTCCACTTACCTTAAAATTTCCACAAAATGTGTCAAAATTTTTTGTCTCTATGAATTCCACTTCTTGATTTGTTTGGAAATTGCCCACTTAAATTATATAAAGAGGCACATAGTCAGAGGTACTCAGTATAGTTAATTCTCTTAATAAATCAGGGATCAAGACTCCACTACTAGCTCTTCCTCAATGTATCGTCTTGCACTCTTCAGCAAAACACTCCTGTAGATTTAAACTGAATTACAAGCTTCTGTCCTACTAGTATGAACAGAACTTTGTCACACACTCGAATTTAGGTATTTAGGTATGTCTTTAAGCAGTCTGTTGCTTAGCAATGAACCTGGGCTCCTACTTATATATTTTGGTGATCAAAGGACTCCGTGAGACAACAGAGAGCACTGCAGCAGCTGTTTTGTATATTTAACAGCTCTTTCCTACTGTTATGCTGTGAAGAGGAGTTAGACAGCGGCAAGAACAAGGTTCCAAAACAAGAATCATTCTTCTTTATTGTCACATGTAGAACTGACCCATTACTTGCAGGAGTGCTCCAGTCCTCAAAACGTCTTTTCCCTCTAAAGCTGATGTTTGTGTGTTAGTGTTGTGCAGTTAAGTTGTCTCTTCTTTATCATTCATTATCCAGTTCTTCTCCCAACTCCTTTCTCCTCTCCTCTTTGCGTGGGTAATAGATAATTTTTCACTAAAATTGTTAAATTTTTGACTAAAATTGTCACCTTTACCTTGCCTCCCTGGAGCTCATAGTTTCTGATTGCTTCAGTGCAGAGGGCCTCTGCTGGATCCAGAATAAGAATCAAAAAAAACTGAAGACTAAACTTGCTGATTGAGAACTGTAGCAAATAGTACTGCTGTTTTGTACTTTTTTGTTAAGAATTTTATTTTTTTTTAAAACTCCACCAATTCCCTGTACCTTAATGTCATTTCAGTCAATTTACTTGGAAAGTTACCAGATGTTCCAGAAACTATTGATTTTTAGCAAGATGACCTTGTATTCTCGCTGGCTATATTAGAAAGTATACATGTTAATTTGGAAATATGCAATGATTTCTTCACTACTTTCAATTTATTTTCTTCAAAGTGTAGTTTGAGCATAAGAGAACAAGAACTCAGCTCAGTTCAGTGCTATCATGTGTTCTGTACATTCTATTTTGTGCAATGCTGGTGCAAAGTATTTGGTAAATATTGAATTACGTTGGACAAATGAAAAATTTTCTAGAATTGGCGAAACATTCATTACAGCAATAGTGGTATGTTGATCTGCACTTAAGTGAATTGCTAATTTCAAACTCTATATGAAACAAAAGCAGAAGCTGACCTCAAATAATCGTAAATTGCATAAGGAAAACTGGAAAAGCCAGAATTTTAAAATGAAGGTTTGGAATTCAGAGCTTGCACATCCATTTTTCTAAGCAGGATTTTAACTTCCGTATGCTTTTTGGTTTATAACTATTCAATACTGGGCGCCTTTGGAAGTGCAGCTGAGCTGAATCTGTGCTCTACAGATTAGCATATTTTGTATTAAGAAGCCTACTTACAGTCCTTTTAGACCATTCTTTTTAATTCATGTTCACCTTTACTGTACTGCTTTGAGGACAGAATGCTTGAAATACACCTAATGCTATGTGTCTTTTCCCTTTTTTCTTTCAATGTTCGAAAGAAATAATTCTCAGTCCCTCATTTAGATACTTACTTGTCATTTCTCTGTGTCTGTTTGTAGCAAATACTGTATGGACTTGTAATTTCTGTAATCTTCAGAATAATGAGGATTTAAAGGATTGTTCTACATTTAAAGTCTAGATAAAACGATCTTATTTTTTCCTTCAGGCAAAAAAGAAGTAAAGATAGAAAATGAGTGAAGATTTTATCTGGGTAGTCCTTTAATCTTCTCTTTATAAACTAAAAAATCCTTAGCTACTTCTTTCTCCTTTTTTTATCTCAGGAAGAAAAATTGACTACAAAATCCTACCATTCAAAAGCTACTTTCTCATATTTAAGAAACCATAAAAGACAATCTTGACAATATTCTTTTCTTGCAATCTACACTCTTAAATGAGGACTAGGTTAAAAAATATTCATTTTTTTTTAATTGGGAAAGATGATATGTTTGGTTTCTACTCTTTTTAGACAGAGTAAAAAGAGTTAGACTGGTATTGACATAACAGGCTTTCTTTACTGCCCATGAATATTATTCCATTCCCATCATCTCCTGATGATACAGAAAATCCTGATCTATCCCACCACACTTTTTGTATATATTTTGCATTAAGAATTTTCTTTGAATTGAGATTTGTACAAATAGGAGAATAAAACAAAAAAAATGATGGTTCCCATTTTTTTTTTATCTCACTAAATTCTTTGTCCCTTGTCCCTGTGATATCTGAGTGTACAAACATGTATCATTACATTAAATAATACCTGGTCAAGTATTTCAATAGCTGCAAATTAAGAAGGAGTAAAAATTCTATTTTTCCACATATAAGGCCTGATGATGTACTACACATTCCATGCTGATCTGAAATTACTTTTTTTTTTCCTGGGGTACACCTCTTCATCTCAGTTCACATGCTCGGAGATGACTCCCTGAGCCAAGCTTGGTAAGAGGGTATAATCAGGAAAGTCATTTTAATAATGTACTATTAAACCAAAAAGGTTGTTACTTCAGAAATAATCACAAATATTGTATGCTGGATGAGTTATCAGATTTAAGGAAAACATTTTTTTTCATGTTTCCTACTGTTGAAGTTATGTAGTTAAAAATTTTAGCAGTAAAATTTAAGACATGATATCTTAACTAATCTTTGCCCATAATACTGCAGCCACATAGCTTCACCCTTATAGAAGACTTGAACTGAATCATTGTCAGAAGCTGTAACAAATGTCAAATATTAATTAATTTTTCATTGATATGTAATGAATTTAGCCATGAACTCAAGTTAGTGCAACAAAGCAGTTCTTTGGGAACTGTGAGACAGAAGCACTGACACGGTAGGTACTATTTTGTTTTGCCATAAATGTAAAAGACAATTCATTACAGTTCATGATAACTGACACAATTTTTGATGGGAAATTATGGAAAATCTAAATATCATAATTTCAATATTCAATAGAAATATATTTTTATTTTGTGATACTTTTAGTTTCACTGAATTGTGAAGCACTTTTGGTTTTGGTGAAGGAAAATGGATAAATGCACTAAATGACACATTTTAAGAAGTCTTCAGTATATTAACAAATCATTGCTTTGTCTCACCATAATGGCAATAATTTAGGATTTAAGTAAGTTAGTATGTAAAGTAAATAAAATAAAAATACCCTATTACATCTGGTATAACATAGCCTTATGCCCCATTATAGCAGTAGACATTGATAAAAGAATTGAGAATTGAATAGGTAGCATTTATTTCATATGCATTCATCTAATCCAATCTAATCAAATCTAGTCTAAACTATTCGTAGTTATAGGCCCTAAATAACTTTTGACAAAGGAGCACCACTTGATAGGCTCCTTGCAGAATGCTTTCCTTCTTGATAGATGCAAGTGCCATATTTGTCA